AAATGCCTAACTGTATATACCTTTTAAACTGTTTGTTCTTTCCTTCATCTGTTCCAATGTGGTGTCCGTGTGCATTCTTTTCTTAATAAAGTACTCTGCACTAACTTTATCATTAATCATATATACAATATATTTATAGAAAGAGCTATAAAATATGTATGTATGAATTCTAAAAAACCCTCCAGTACTGTCAAGTGGATCCTAATTCTAGCAATCCTGTAGGACAAAGTAGAACTTCCCCTTTCCCAGGCTGTGTATTTTATCAGGATCAGACTGCCTCCTCTCCCTTCTGCGGAGCCCTAGTTCATTCAAACCACATACCTTTTTATTTACAGCCCATTACTTAACCCACTGTGCCACCAGGATGCCTTTTTATTTAGCATTTGATAACAGTAGGCAGTACATAAATTAAAAATGTATCTGTGGTCATTCTGACAATCAGCATTCTGCTTAATATTAACAAATTTGTATTTCCATGGTAAGAATTTGTGATACATATTCACAATCATTAATCTATTTATCTTGTAAAATTCAAATAATCTTAGATAAAAAGGAAAGACTTTTTGAAAGACCAAAATTCCAAGTATGGGAGTTCTGGCTAGCACAAAAGCTAGAACTGAGCTTTGCTCTATCAAAAAGGTCTCTGGCAGACCCAGCCTTTCATGTCAACTACACAGAAAAGTAGATACTGTGAGAAAAGAAAGGGAAATGTTGAGAGGAAGAATTCCCTAGTATTACTACCCCTTTAACACTTCTGGTGTGAAAAGAATGAGTCATTGCTCTCCTTTCATTTTGAGTCTGATGAAAATGCAATAATTTGTGGCTGTGGAAGAGGTATTTCTCATAGACTCATGGTCAGTGTCCCTGAAAAGAAGGTTTTTAGGTTGGTCAGCAGAGAAATATCACCTGTCCATATGTTTCCCACACAAAATGTCTAAAAGCTTGTGCATACTTTGGACAGACTTTAACATTTATAGGAACCTGTGTAATTTAATATGTATGTGTATGTCCATCCTTTCATTTTGATTCGGTCATTAATGAATGAAATAAATGCATAATAGATTTTTGTTATTATAGGGAGAATTTTCTCAAAGTATTCCCACACAATAATCAAGCACTGACCAACAACAAACACATATTAAACAGTAGATCAGCAGGTCTGACAAACTTATTTTCAGCATTTTGTCAATCTGTTAGCCCTGCTGAACTGTTCTATAACAGATGTAAGAAGCAACAGAGACTGTAGGCTTTGTGGACTGTGCTCAGCTTATGTTTCTAGTCCAGCCACTTAGAAAAGAACAGCTGAGTGCCCAACTCCTTTCCTCATTTATATCTGCAGGGTAGGATTACTGCTTATTTGGATTTCAGCTCTTCTATATTTTCTTCAAATTGACATTCCTTGTTTTATAAACAGGATAATTTTAAAAGAAATGTTAAAATAAAGGGCATCTGTCACCCTCATCATCAATAAATAACAAAATCAGATTTACTTATTTTTCAAAAATATCCTGTAAGTTCATTGTGATTTGCTTTAAAAAGCACAAACTGATTCTCTGAATCATAACTTCTAGTAAAGATTTTTAAATGAAAAATTCTTTTTATAACAAGTTGAAACTTTATCATTAAGAAATTAATCTAATTATAATAGATTAAAATATTTAAAATGCAGAATGTGTTAAAATAATATATAATTTTAAGTAGTAAAATGCTATCATCCAAAGCATGTGAGGAAATCTTAAGTCAATTTATTATAGTATTAGCACTAATTCAGAAATTAGCCATTTAAACATTCTGTGGTGATGATTAGAACATCAGTGAGGAAAAGATGGTGAACTTATTGTGATTTCAATTCCAGAAGAATAAAGGAGATAAATATAGTTTCATAGAAATGTAAATCCCCAGTCAAAATGTTAATACCCATCAAAAAGCAACTCAGAACTATCCTGGCTTTTAAATGCTCCCTTAAGGCAACTCTGTAATACCTTTTTATATGGCCAAAATAGGTAATGAATTTTAATTTTAATTAGCTTCATTCCTTATCAAGGGAAAAGAATCCCACAAAATCTTATTTAAAGAAAGGTGAAGTAGGTCAACTCAGATTAGCATCAGAACTAAACATTAACTGCTTTCCCTTAATATTAAACTTTCTTTCACAGTTTGATTCATTCTAGTTAACTCATATAAGCAATTTTTGAGTATAAATAGGTCTTTTTGTTAATTTTATATTTTCACCAGAAATTTTTAATTTAAAGAATAAAAACTGGATGACAGTATTGAAAGGAAGAAGTAGATAAAACCCTCTTTCGTAAGTAATACAATTTCTATGATTAATAACATCTATTTCAGTTTCCCAAGCTGTCCAGTCTTTAAAACTCCTTAGGATTCCATTGTTTTTCAGTGCTGCATAATATTTAATTGTGTGAATATACCACAGCTTCTCTATCCATTCATTTGTTGATAGGCACTTGCTTTCCTACAGTGAACAAAGCAGCAATAAACATGGGTGGCATAGATTTGCTTAGGTGGAAGTTCTGTTTTCTTTATGGCATATTCTCAGTAGTGGAATTGCTGGGTCAAATGGTATTTCTTTTCTAACTTTTTGAGAAAGAGCCATACTGCTTATACAAAATGGGTGGCCATGGAGGACATTAGGCTGAGTGAAATAGCTCAGTCACAAAAGGACAAATACTGCATAGTGCCACTATTATAAAACAGGACTGACATGGGGGCTGGTGGGAAACTAAGAAAAGAGGGAATAAATAATGTACATTACATTGAAACAGACAAGAGTGAGAACTGTATAAAAGCAATTCATGATTAGGTATTATGGCATGATATGAGTCCAGAGTAAGAGCTATATAGCGTACTTGGGCGGGGGAAGACTGTATAACACTGAAAGAAAAATGCACAATAATGAGTGAATGGAAATCCAAGTTCTCTATAAACTTTTGTTAAAATCTTAATAATAATAAAAAAAATCCTTATGATTTCATAAAGATAAGGAATAATGATGGGAAACGTTTCTTTTCTGGAAGCAGACAGCCTAGGTTTCAACATTGGTTCTCCAGCTTGTGTTAAATGGCCTTGGACACTGCCCAGTCTCGCACCCTTCTCACAGTCATTGCTGTGTTTGACCCTCTTGTTGCGGCCTTTGTGCCAGCCCATCACCTGGAAGATCTTCCTATTTTCAATCACCCTCTCCTTTAGTAAGCATCGTGTCTTCCTCCAGGTGCTGGCTGGTTCCTCCTGATTAACATCTCCAAAATCTCACTCTCTTTACGTCCAGGGGCCAGATGGACTTTTTCCTAGACAGTTCTTTTTCCTTCTCACAGTCCGTGGTATATTCAGTATGTTTTGCCATTACTATAACTCAAAGGCATCAGTTATTCTTTGATTTTATTTTGCCTGCTTTTTTTAGAGCTATTTTTTAAAAAAAATTAAAATGAAAGTAAACATTTTAGAATAAATTTTGATAAATAAAATTCAGTGAATATTTGTTATGTTGACCAAATTTGCTTAATTAGGTAAAAACGTGTGTGTAAAAAATGATTGCTGTGTTTATGTATGTTATCATCTCTAGGATTTTTACAAATTTTTTTTGTGATTATTGACTCTGAAAACCCCCTGGAGGTTCCACTATGGGTAGGTTCTGACTCAGTGGTTGTTGGTTGTTGTTGTTTGGTGCCGTCAAGTCGTAGACGACTCATAGCGACCCTATGAACGAACGGCTTGAGCACTGTTCATACATAGAGTTTCCGGAGGCAAGCCATTGATACTCCTTGTTTAAGAGATGCAGAGTAAATCCGCTCTGTGTAAATGTAGACTAGATTTCATGACTCATTTCCAACAAAAAGATTAAACTAGAAATAATATGTATCTCCCAAGACTTAAAGCCATTAGGACTTTCTCCTGCTTTATTCCATGCATTGCTTGCTGTGGGTAAATTTCCCTGCCAAGGTGTGAGAACACTGGAGCAGTGTCATGGAAAGCCCTTGTTGGCCTCCACCACTCATGTGAGTGAACCTTGTTGGGAATAGAGCCTCCATTTCTTGCCGACTCTTTAGATGTCTCCAATTCAGGTCAACATCTTGACCCCAATAATGCATCAAATGTTACATTTTTATTGTTTCAAGTTATTAACATTTAGGGGGTTTTTATATCACAATAGATACTATAGGTAACAAAAACATTACCTTGTATTTTCTGGGCTCTGGACTAGGAGATTCTGCTTAATTATAACAGAATTTAAGGTCTTAAATGGTTGCCCTGTTTCCAGTTTTAAAGTTGCCTTTCTGCATCCCACCTCTAGAATAAAAGCTTGATGACAAAGCTCCATTTCTCTGGAGATGATTCTTTGTTTTTTTTCTTTTACTTGATGTATGTCATGCTAATCTAAATTTCTTCAAGTTAGAGTTAACAATTTTGGGCTGAAATGTTAAAATATCAGATATTTTTCACATACATTCTTTCTTCTGGTAGATAAAATCATATGAATTGGTAGGGTTTTTCCCCCCTGACTTTAATGCATGTTCACTGTGGCCAAAAGTTGAAAAATAAAGATTAAAGAATTAAGTTAAAGTTATCTAATCACTCAGAGGTAACTACTGTTTTTTATTTTCTTCTTCTTCTTCCTCTCAGGAATTTTATGTGGTTACTTTGACATGTCTATGTATCTGTTAAATAAAGACACTGTTATTCATAGAATGTTGTTCATAGAATATTCAGCTTTCTCTTTTGATTATTTATTTTGTCTTTTAAGAATATTCATCCTAATCATTACATATTATATCATTATAACTTATTGTAGTCATGTAACAATATAATCTAAAGGCTGACCATATAATTTATTATTCCTGTTTTGATATTATAGATGCCTAAAAGACTTATTTTTAAAAAAAAAAGTCTGAAAGTTACATGTTTTATTCTCTACTCTATTTTAATTAATTAAATTCATTTTCCCAGGCATTAGTAAACTAACTTTTGCTTATCTTTTCCTACAGAATGGAAACCCTCAGAACCCCTACTGTGATGGCATTGAGGGAGTCATGGAAGCTTATTACAGGAGTCTAAAATCTGTACAGTTGTATGGACCAACCAACTTTGCTCCTGTAATTAATCATGTAGCAAGGTAAGTAGAGGTATGGATTACAGAAGTCATTGTCAGTTTTTTGAGCCCATAGATCAACATTATTCTTTTCTAGTTTGTCTCAGAAAGTGAGGCAAAACTTATACACTACAAAGAATCTCTGATAAGCTATCATAAATCTTTATCAAGGACTGTACCTCAGAAATCTCACATGAAGACTCATATACTGGGTTTCAGTAGAATTTGGATATGTTATGATCTGTTTTCAATTATTGACATTTGTGGAAGATTTTTTTCTTGTTTGGTTAGTTGGATTTTCTTTTCTTTTTTAAAGAAGGCATCTGTGAGAACAATAATGAGATCACAGTTTTAACTGTGTAAAACATTCAAATCTATATTCCATTGTAACATGGACATAATAAGAGACTGAACTATATTAAGTTGGCTGTTTTAAGTCTTTCAGAGGCATATAAAGCAAATTATTCTCTCCTAATCTAGTAACTAATTTTATAAAACTCATAGAAGTCTGTGCATATACGCTACTTAGTATATTGAGATGCAAATGTATTTGTCTATATTTCCTAGAGAAAAATGTTAAAATGTAAAAAAAATATATACAGTCTTATGATGTTCTTCATTAATACATAAATACCTTACATATTACTTTTAAAATCTTTAGAAAGTTTGGCTCATATAAATTTTAAATCCTTTGAAATGCCATCTCTTTTTTTTATAATAAAAAGAGAAGTACATAGATTTGTGTGTGTTACCTTCTGACTATGTAGCCACTACTAGAAAAACCACTTTTCAATCACTCGCTATGCTGCTCAGAACTGTAGAATGAATAAGGACGGCAGAAGAAAAATCGATGAATTTGCATTACGGTGTTATAGGGGAGTGCTCTATATCCCATGGACTGCCAAAACAACAAACAGATATGTCTTGGAGGAGATGCTTGACAACAGTGTTCTCCTTGAGGACGGTGAAGCTTCATTGCACATACTTTGAGCATATTGCTAGGAGAAGCTATTCCTTGGAGAAGGACATTATGCTTTGAGAAGTGGAGGGATGGAAAATGAGAGGAAGACCCTCAGCCAGATGGATTGATACAGTGGCTGCAGGAATGGATTTGAGTGTGTCAGAGATTGTCAAAATGGCATATAGGATAGAGTTCAGACCCAGCAACAACAATGTGAAAAACCAGAGAGCTTTGTTAGCTTTCTGGTAAGGAGTTGCACTACCAATGCAAACGTGGTTGTTGTTGTTGTTGTTGTTGTTGTTGTTGTTGTTAGATGCCATTGAGTCAAGCACAATTCATAGTGACCCTATGAACAAAAGATCTGAACCTGTTCTATCCCATGCCATCATCACACATCCTGACATGCAAGAGCCCATTCTAACAGTCACCATATCAATCCACCTGGTTGAGGGTCTTCTCCTTCACCAACCCTCCAACCTACCCAGCATCATGTCCTTCTCCAATGAATAGCACCTCTAGTAACAAGTCCAAAGTATGTGAGATGTAACCTTGCTCTAAAGAGCACTCCGGATGCATGCCAAGACATATCTATTTGTTCTCTTCGCCGCCCAAGGGATGTTAAGTGCTCTTCTCCAACACCACAGTTCAAATGTGCCAGTTCTTTCTCTGTCATCCTTATTCATTTTTCCAGCTCTCAGATGCATAGCTAATAATCAGAAAAACTATGGCCTGAATCAGATGCACCTTAGTCTTCAAACTGACATCATTAATCCTCAATAATTTGGAAAAGTCCCTAAAAGCAGATTTTCCCAGTGTAAATGCTTCTACTTATTTTTTGACTGTTGGCACCGAAGGTGTTAATTGTGGATCCAAGCAAGATGAAGCTATTGACAGTTTAAATTGCCTCTCCATCCATCATGATGCTGCCTGTTGGTCCAGTGGTAAGAATCTTTCATTTTCTGACATTAAGATGCAAATCATACTGAAGGCAGCATTTCTTGATCTTCTGCAACAAATGTTTCAAGCCCTCCTCACTTTCAAGAAGCAAGGTTGTGTCATCTGCATAATGCAAATTATTGATGAGTCTTTCTCCAATCCTGATGCTACACTCTGCCTCATAGAGTTCAGCTATGGACTCATATGGTGTACTATGCAGGGCATGATAAACGGGGGAAACAGTGCTGCATTCATAGTCAAAAAGTCAATTTTGAGTTTTATCTTTAAACATCATGTTGGCTGGAGCTTCCCGACTAAATCAAGCCTGGAAGTAGGAGCGGCATCCACTTCCAAAATGACTGGCCTCTGGAAACTCTATGTATGAACAGTGCTCAGGATGTTCGTTCATAGGGTCGCTATGAGTCGTCTACGACTCTTCAGCATTCAACAACAACAACAACACTTACTACTTAATTTTGTATTATTTTGCCCTGATACACTTTAACTGTAAAGTTAAACCTTTGAAATATCTAAATGCATTTTACTGTATGCCATTTGAAAATACATGCTTAATATTTTCCTATTGCTGTTGTTACAGTTTTTCCCAGAATTTTGTAGATTTTAAAATAGAGGCATAGCTACCAGCTAAAGCTGTCATGTTATTGTGTACCATTAAGTCAGAACCAACTCATAGCTGGTCCTCCAGCACATCCTCAGAGGCAGTGAACTGTGTGAGAGGAGACTGCTTGTCTTTCCACTTTGGAGAGGCTGATAGATTCAGACCATGTGCTTTTGAGTTGGCAGCACAGCTGTTTACCACTAAGTCATCAGAGCTTCTCAAAGCTTTGATATTCTTTGAAAATAAATGATAATAAAGACATTTTCTTGTTATATTTTAATTTTTTTTTAAGTAAGATGACTTACTTCATTTTTTCCTCTCAGTGTGATAAGTTTGGTAGCCTAGTAGTAAGAAACTGTGCTGCAATCCGCAAAATACTCAGCTTAGACCCACTAGCTGCTCCCCAGAAGGGTGGGCAGTCTCCTCCCATGCAGTCAACTGCCTCTGAAAACCTGCTGCCCGGCCAGCTGTGGGTTGGTTCTGCCTCTACGGTGCACAACAATTACTCAACTCTGACTATAAATCTATATGATAAAGATTTTTCTCTTTTTGCTTTTGTCTTTTGAAATAGAATTTATTTTTTAAGCTTTTATTGAGAGGATTTCTGCCTGAAATTTAGAGAGAAAACTATACTGATAATAAATCAGGAAAAGCACTATCTGTTGTAGTTTATCTAATCTTCCTATATAAAACTCTTCCTCCATTTTGCTACTCTTTATTACATTTTCATAACTCTTAGCATCATGTTCCCACAACTATTCAGTATCTAAGAAATAAATAATGTATGTGTTAAGATAGCTGCCATTAAAAATTAATGTTAACAAAGTCAAAGCAAAATGTATACTTAGACATTTTCTTTTTTGCTTTGAATGTTTTCTTAAAAATGTGTTTTATTGTGTTGGTAAAGGCTTAGCTATTTGTAATAGATTATGTAAGCACTGTGAAAATACCAATTATTTTAAGGATAATAATGTTAAGCACATGCTTGTTTTTCATGTTGAAACATACATAATTAGACACTTGACTCAGGAAATAATATTCATGGAAGGACAATATTATGAAACAGCCACGACTCAAGCCATCAACCATGCCAGTTTCTTAAAAGTTTTTGTTTGTTTGATTTTTATTGTCATTTTAGTAAAAGTTTACAAAAAGCTTGAGTTCTCATTCATGCATTCTGACATATTTTTTTCCTCCAATATCCCTCCTCTAATTCAATTTGTAATGAATATCTTGTTCTAGATAGTTAATTATAAAGCTGTCTAACACTCGCTTTCATTTCCTACTTCCCCTTTCACTCAACTTTCAGAAGACTAGCATTTTAAAAGATGTAAAATTCCTACTCAAAACTATTGAGGCTAGCATTCGGCAACTTCCAACATCCAACTACCAAGTACCATCCCATCTCGTTTCCTGTTTATTCTCCCAAATACTCTGCATTGCAGACACATAGATTCACTAGTATCATCTATAGAATATGTGCTGTCATGGTCCATAACATAAAATGCTGCTAACTGAAAGATTAGTGCTTTCAGTCTACTAGCTGTTCCAAGGCACAAGATAGATAGTCTCTTCAAATAAAGGTTCACTGTCACAAACTCACTGGAGAGGTTTAATGGCTTGAGATTGACTCCTTGAAAGTGGATTTGTTGTTTTTTGTTGTTTGTTGTTTTTTTTTGTTTGTTTGTTTTTTATTATTATTTTTGTGTGTATGAGTATACCGTCAAATCAGATCTGACTGGTACAGGAGGAGATTGTCCCTCCTTCCCCGGCAGAGCATCTGGTGGATTCGAACCGTGTGCCTCTGGGATTATAGTTGCAGCTCCTTGCCACTATGCCACCAGAGCTACCCTGTTTGTTTGTTTTTAATGCTTCTAGTAAGGTGCTCTGGTAGCATAATGATTAAGCCCTTGGATGCTAACTGAGGTCAGTAGTCAGTTCAAACAACCAGGCATGCCTTGGAAGAAGGATGTTACACGGGCTTCCATAAAGATTACGTGATTATTAGGATGCCTGCCAAGGACTCTGAGAATCAGTTAAAGGACTTCCCTCTGTGGTGAAGGTTACAAGACTGGATTTGTTTTCAGATGGAGATCTATAAGTGACTCACTGACTTGCACAGTCCTTCTGAGATTGTCAGGCTACCATTGTGCTAGCATTGAACCTGGAGTAGAGGTTGAAGTCACCATTGCAGAAGCCTAAATCAGCTATTTTACTGAGTTGATTACCTGTTGATAAAAAGATTATACGACTAGACATTATGTGTACAACAATTAAAAATTTGGAACAGGACAAAATTTATTGGGATGAATGAAAACTAATCTCTTTTAAAACATTCACTAAAATTA